CTCGTAGCCGGACCATACCCTGCAGAGCGAAGCCGTGGGAGTCACCTCCCCTATGGAGATGCTGTTGGAGCCACAGACGGGTGCGATATCAGCCTCAGCCCATGAATGGAGGCTGCCAAAGCAGACACCAATCCGGCACTCTGAAGATTGGGGATTCCCACCACCGTCACACAGTCAGTCGCTGGCCGGCCTTCCAGATCAATTCAGACAACTTAACGTGAATGGGGCGACTGCTTGCCTAGCACCGAGCCCCTCAGGTGGACTCTGGCCCAGCCAATGTTCACCTTCTCAGATCGAGACTCCGTAGTGCTCTGGAATGGAGATACTTGCTCATTCCACACAGTGAAAAGCGGGTCAGCCCACAACCTCGCCACTGGAACAGGACCAACAGCAGACCCCCTTAACCCCAGGGTACAGAGGACCCAACACCAGGGCTGGAGGGGTCAACCTAGCCAGCTGGTGACCAGCCCACAGCAGAGTTTTGGGCGGATTCCAAACCCAAACCAATTGCCAGCAAGTGGGTTGCCGCCAGTGAGTAAAATTCCGGCGGGATGGGCTTTCTACCCCGGCCAAGGATGGTGCAGTACCAGTGGACACCAGCCCCTTCTGCAAGTGGCACCAATGCAGGCGTCTGGGGCATTCCAACCCCAAGCTGCTATTCCCCAGCAGGTCCCTGCCCAGCAGCAGCTGCCAGGATTAGCGCCGCAAGGGGAGAGGGGTCCATCCCCAAGTGCCTGCCCAATCGCCTGCACAAATCCAGGCTCCAGCCCCACCGGCTCCTTCGCCTCCCTGATTTTGGGCGACGTTTCATGGGACTTCTGGAAAGCTAGCCTATTTCCTAAATCAAGTTTGGGTACACATCAACCAATATGGAAGTCAATACCCTTCCGACCAGGAACTAGTTTTGGCCATAATGGAAGGAATGAATGAGAGGGATGTGTCCAAATAGGTAGTGGAGCTCCACGATGAAGCAGCTCCTAAATTGGAAGATGCTGATGGATTTGTTCAACTGATGCAAATCAGATTTAGCAGTGTGGCTGAACATGTGGAAGCAGAAGCGGAAATCCAAGGGTGAAAGGCAAGATGGCTGAAAGAACTAGTGAAAGAACTAGTGCGGCAATTTAGGAAACTGGCTGAAAAAGTACAAGACTGGCCAGAGCGATTCCTAATCCATATATTCAAGAATGTCTTAGATCCCGAACTGAGAAGGGTGTGCCGTATCTGAGGGGTGCTGGAACACATCCAGAATTGGTACACCACCACAGTTATGCTGAACCACGACCTTCACCCTCACCGAAAGCCGACCACTGAAAAGCCAGCTAAAATACCCTTGGGACGCCAAACCCAAACGAAGCAAGCCGAGCCGCCTATCCAAAAATCGTCTGGAGCAATAAAGTGCTACATGGGCAGAGAGCGTCAGAATGTTTGACCCTGGCCCCAGCCCCACAAGCACGTACTTCAGCCACTAGTGGGATGAAGAGAGCCCCACAAAAACTACCCGAAAAGAGTCATCTTGCTCACCAAACGAATGAAGCCTCTCCCCAGCCTGAGAAGAAAGTCCACCAGAGGGTGAAACCCCTCCAGGCTCGGAGAAGGAAAACAGCAGCAAAGAGGACCTGATGAACATGCTTTTCTTCTGAGGGGAGGCTGCCTGTCAGGCTTGAAAGCCATTTTTCTCTTTTTGGACTTTAGGCCTGCCACACTTTATATTATTCTATTATGCATTTTCTATTGTGGGAAAATGGAAGGGGGGTTATAAAGAATTGGGTGATATGTAGCCATAACAAAAAAATTTCTAGAAAGCCAACATCATCCTTTGTTTCTACACTTAGCAGGAACTGGATTGGTGGTAGCTGCCGTGTGGCAGGGGAAGATTGGACAATGTGATGGATTTGTGGGTGTAGGGGCTGAATTTTAAACTTTCAACTGAGTGGAAAAACCTGGAAACTTTCAGATTCGGGTTTTCCCAGATGTGCCAACATGGCTCTCTTAATAAATTGGAACTTTGCGTAATGCTTTGGCTCGGACTCTGATTTACTTTTGGATGATATTTGAAACCCTAACAGCTGCCTTACTCTCTGGCTCAGCATGGGGGAGTTCTGGAGTAGCTTCGGCGTGACGCAAATCTGCTTCTGCGAGCCGCCGGACAGCTGGGATAGCAGCCACTATTAACTGCAAGACAGGACCACTAGGAAGCATGACTCAAATGTGATCAAGGCTTAAGAAGGAGGTGGGCATTGCTGACGTTCCTGGAGGTGTGTCCGAATGCCAAAATTACACTATTCATTAATGGACGGAGGAACAGACCAGAGGGGAGAAGGTTAGTAGGGAGTCTTTGGTTGCATGTATTCTTATAGGACACTGGCGATGGACTCAGGGGGAGGGAAGACAGAAAACATGGGAGGGATTTG